GAGTACCTGCTCCTCAGTTGTGGCCACTGCTCCAGTTTTAGTGTCGCCTGCGAATTTGATCAGCAGACTGTTCACCCCTTCTTCCATGTCGTTAATGAAAAGATTAAACAGGATCGGCGCTGTTACGAGAAACATTACAAGAACCCCAAGATGCGCACACCAGAGGGCTTCCTACACTAGAATTGGTCTACCATGTCACGAAGAACATGTTGCACTGCAGAGGTGTTGAAATTCGAATGTGGGAACTGGATCCAGACCATGCATGGAGCCAAAACTGGACCGCTGTGGCCATGCCCCTTCCCCAGAGCACTGAGTGGGTCTCTCTTCCCCACTGCTATGACCGCCTGCCATGTGGTGGGTTCTTGGCTCTTTGTACAGTTCTCCAACTCACCCCCATTCCAAAAGTTCTCTTAGAACTTAGTTACCCTCAAGATGAGCTTCAAACCAAAATGTGCTGGTCTTTTGGCCCCCAAATGTGCTGGTATTTTGTGCTCTTGGCCACACCCCACTTTTCATTTGGCCCTGCCCGCTCCTTCAATGCAGTCTGCAAGTGTTGCTTAGGTTGACTGAAGGAACAAGAGGCACTGGCTTTCTGTGGAATCCATTCAGTAATGTGATACAACCCAGCTGAAAGTTGATATCAGACTAATAAGACTAAGTGAACACCCTCCCCTTCCCAGTAATCAAGATCCTAAAAGACTGAACCCTCAGGGTGGTTCTTGAGTTTTCAGAGCCAACCATGTGGGGTATCACGCTCCACAATGTTGGCCTTCTCTGAAAAACCAAGAATCTCACTCTTGGATTGGTGATGCCACGTCCCTTCCAGTTTCTCATGGGTTCAGGAACTGGGAGCTTTTCAGAAATTGAATTCTGCACTTGAACATGGACTCAGGGAGGTTCAGCACCCCAGTGGACCATCTGTCATGTACTACTGCTGTAGAAAGCAAGGAAATGCCACATCTGAATTCTTTGTACGCAATATCTGGCATACCAAGATGTCACTTAGACTAGAATGTTTGTGCTACTGTGCTTGCATTCTACAGCCAAGGGACTTTTCTAGGTGTTGACACATTCACTCAGGCCATTATGTTCCCTTCTCCTGTCCTGCATGTTGATGTATTTATATATTCCTTTCAGGGAGGAGAGGTGAGGGTTAAAACATACTTTATTTCTGCCCCTAGCAAAAACTGTCTGCATGGCTCACAAAAGAGAGCTAAGAAACCCCATTCCCAGCGTGAAACATACGAACATAATCAAACAAAGAATAAACATGCGAGCAAATTAAAAGAAATTGCAGCAGAGTGATCAAAGCAAACTAGCCGGGGGCTAAGAAAGTGCAAATACAGCCCTTCCCCATTTCAAAACTGAAGCACCAAAAAGCCGGGAAGAACAGGCAGATCTGCTCCAGGTGAGATCCTAAAGGCCTCAGCAGAGATCTCGGGCAGACGGTTCTGGGCAGGACATCCTTCAGTGGGTTTGCCAATCCCAAAAAGGCCCTCCAAGAGTCAGAAGAGCCTTCTGTTCACCTGGCCCGGAGCCCAGTCACCACACAGTGGCACGACCGGATGGCCTAGGATTCCAAGGAAACGGCACCACATGCTTTAGCCAAACGTAGAGGCGAGCCAGCAGTGTGATGTTCACACAAATACTGGCTTCAGGTTTTCGAGGTCTTGGAATTGTCTTCCTCCCTCAGTGGACCAACAGCCTCCCCACTGTGGCCACCAGCTGCTATGGCTCCTTCTTCTCTTTCTCATCCTGGTTACCGCTCGCTCGCTCGCTCGCTTGCTTGGTAGACAGACAGCTGGTCAGCTGAGGCAACTCCTGGTCTATCTTCTCAGCACTACCCTTGACTGGTCCAGAGGAAGAAGCAGGGCAACATGCAACTTGCCATGGTCAAGATGAGGAGCAGCCCAAGAGGTTCTCTGCTGGGATGAGGGCCCCTGGCGGTGTCCAGCCATGGTTACCCTGGACACAAGCCTCACCTGCCTCCTAATGTTGGACTCCATGGAAAAGCAGGAGTCTTGCTCAGAGGAGTTGCTCCCTTGTTGCACACTTGGTGTAAGAGATGTGCATACACCTCAGTGACTCAGGGCAGGGGTGGGCAGCCTCAGGCTTGGAGGCCAAAGGTGGCCCACAGATTCACACCACGACCTCCTCCGGAATAAGGATGCAGGCTGCAATCCGACACCCACCTAGCTGGTGGGAAGCTTGCCTGAACTCAGTAAGACTCATTTCTTGGTAGATGCATATAGGATTTCTCTGTTCAACCAAATAATGGTAGCCAAATCAGAGAGACAGAGAATGTCTCTGGGAGTATGTGGGGGGGAAGATATTGTCAGGTCAGGGAAGTTACAGTAACAATGGAAAACATTTCCAATTCCTTACATTTCCAATTCCTCAAAGCTTTCAGCTGCTCATCTTTTAAAGAATCGCCTTCAAAGGGATGGCCTTCCATACCGTGTCAACATTAAATCCCTGGAACAGCCTTCCCCCAAGTTGGCATCCTCTGAAGGTGTTGGATTGCAAGTCTATCATCCTCAGCCTAGGAATAATGTATGTTGCAAGCCAACTCCTCTAGAAGGTGGCACAGTGAGGACAGCGGCTCTGGCCTTTTGCTGGCTGAGTTCTAACTCTGGAGCTGATCGATGCAGGTTAATTTTCTCAATTGTTACTTTGGGTGTACTCCAACCCTGGTAAACTATTGGGTGTTTTACTACTGGCTTCAGGGGGAGGTAACTCACACCCTTTACAATTATTTTTAAAAGGGCCGTGACTACAAAACTGACAGTGACAGAAACTGGACCACGTGGTTTTTGGTAACAATGACAGCAGTTTAGGGACAAATTTGCTGTAGTGGACAGAGTGCTGGAGCAGAATTGCAAGGACTTCGCCTTTAATCATGGCATTCACTGATAACCTTGGCAAAGTCCCTCTTAACCTAGCCTACCTCACAAGGTTGTTGTGGGGTTACAAAAGAGAGGGGAAATGTGTAAACTATCCTGAGTTTCCCGAAGGAACGACAGGTTATCAACTTAATAACAAGTACAATAGCCACCTCACCGGGGAATGGGGGGCATTGCTTGGCCTTCTCAGTAACTGCTCATTGTCAGCACTCAAAAGCCATGCCCTAAAAAGAGAGGATAAGTCCTCCTTGATCTGGGGGTTTTGAAAAGATGTAATCCCTTTATTAGGGACTCTCTACTGATTCATTTCCTACATTGATGTCAGGTTGGACTAGATGACCTTGAGGTGCCCTCCAACTCTCTGATTCTATTAAGAAAACTGCAGCTCCAAGAACGCTTGCCCAGGGAGGAAGCCAGATGCATTTCCTCAGGGGAGGAGATGTCTTCCTGCAAATATCTTGAACGGCCCCCCTGTTTGCCCAGATGGCAAACATCCCCAGGAACTTGCCCCGAGAGACCTCGGGCTTTTCAACTCCGGCTGTCATGCTCCTAGAAGACCTCGCTCTCGCGGAAGCGTGTGCTGAGCGGCGCATCCGGAGACCACGGCGAGGCCCTCCTTAACCACCGCGCCAGCTCTCCGCCGCGCTCTTAAACAGCCGCTCTGCTCGCTCCTCCTCCGCAGCCGCCCGGAGCCCGGAGCCCGCGCCCGCGCCCGCGCCCGGTGCGTCCGCCGCTCCACGACCCGCGGTATGTGCGGTGCGCGGGGAGCGCGGGCGAACCGTGAGCCGTGCGCTGTCCGGGCGGGCGGGCGCGCAGCTCGCTGTGTCAGCACCACGGAGAGCTCGCTCGCTTGCTTCACCGGCATCCCTGGCTGGGCCGGGGCGGGGGGCGGGCGGGGGGGCGGGCAGGTGCCTCTTCCAAGGACACGGATGCCCGGGAGTCTCGATCCGACACGGTGCTAGCGCGAAGCACCTTCGTTATCCATTCTGCTCCCATCAAAGAGGTGGGGATGGAGCCTCCGCTCCGGGAAATGCGGCAGGCGAGGGCTGGGCTGCCGCCATCACGAGCACCTTGCAGGTGTCCAGGGGGCTGGCGGGGGGGGGGGGGGCTCTGCTGGGAGACAGGGCACTTTTGGCAAGAGAGGCTTTCGGCCCGACCTAGCAATGCTCTGGGAGAAGGGCTTTTCACACTGACTTCAACCCCAACTTTCTGGAGTGACTGGCCTCACTTCTTTCAACTCCTTTCCCCTCCAGCCCCGTCTGAGGCAAAGACGTGTCCTCCAGCGGGGTTTTCTCTGAACTCAGCTCCCAAACATTCCCAGAAAGCCAGGCCTCATTGTGGAACCTGTAAAAGAATCATTGGACCAAGATGCCTGTATCCAGCATGCTTTCCCTTGCACAAACCCAAACTCACTCCTTCCTTCCTCCTCGTTCTTTCTTTTTTGCAGACTTGGAGGGGGGCGGGGTGGGAATAGCTTGACATGTCCAAGCCAGAGGTAGAGAGACTTGGAAGTTCTTCTCCACCCTACATTTCTGGGGAAACCTTAACAACCTCTTCTGCAAACCCAAACCTTCTGTCTGGACGCTCGTGTGTGTGTGTGTGTGTGTGTGTGTTTGAGTGTGCCACAGGGTCTATGCCAGAGGTAAACTTTAACCCCAGCAGGGTTCCTCGTTTTGGAAACCCGCGACCCTGCCCAGTGCACAAGGACCGTCCCCTTAGCGAGCCCTGCATCGTTCCCGCCCCACTGAAGCACACCCTTCAAGGGGTAGGCACAGATGCCCGCAAGGGTCACCCTCCAGCTGTTTGGGATTACAACTCCCAGCACCCCCAGCCCCTGCACCTTGCGGGCTGGGCTGGGGTTTATGGGAGTGGCGGTCAGTAACACCTGGAGGCAATAAGGGCTGGGATGGGGTGGCGATGGGCGGGTGGGGGGACTGGCGGGGCGAAACTCGGGGGAACTTGGAGCGAGCCGCCGACACATGCCTGGTGGTCCTGGGCACCGGCGGCCTCCGCGGCGCCTCGGGCGGGGAAGACCCCGCTGCCCAGTTGCCCCCCCCGCGAGTTCTAGCGCTGCCCCCTCCCCGCCCCCAGCCTTACCTGGCAGCCCCAGGCAGAGCAGCAAACTGTAGTAGACGACTGGCACATAACCCAAGCCACAGCCTTGCAGGGAGGTGCTGTTGTGCGTGTGGATGTAATCTTGCTCCATCGACGTTCTCCTGCCGGTCCCTGGCTGAGCCTCGCTGGAAGGAAGGACGGAAGGCAACGGAGTCAGGCGCTCGGCATCCCAGCCGCCGCCGCCGCCGCCGCCGGAGATGCCGAGCACTTTGCGCGGGGGAGGAAGGAGCCAGCCAGCCAGCCAGCCAGCCAGCCTCACACGCAGCCCCGTCGCTGGAGGAGGCGGCGGCAGCGCGTGGCCCACCTCTCCGGGGGGGGGGGGGGGGCCCTGGGGGGGGGGGGGGGGGGCGGCCGGCCGGCCGGCACGCCAAGGGTTAACGCGCTGCTCTTCACTTCGCCGGGCGGCGAGCTGCTGGCTGCGCTGCCCGCCTTCCAATACACACGCTTTACACACGGGCAGCGGGCGCGCTCGGGGTCCTAGCAGCTGACTGCTTCCGCCAGGTCTTTGCATAAGGAGAAACGCGTCTCCCTTACTCTCCATTTACTAGGACGGATCCTCACTCTGGTATCACCACTGCTAGCATTTGCATCCATCCTAGTAAAAGAAAAAGAAAAAGAAAGCCCCCTATCGTTACCCCTTCTAGTAGCATTTCTAAAATACGACTGGACTACAAAAATATGATTAGTGTTTAGCATTGCTTAACTAATCCTTTTCGGATTTTGGTAAAGGAGTCTTTCAGTGATATTGGCATTTTATTATTAGTTTGCTCCTGCCCACCGCGACACCCCTTTCTACCTCCTGCAAGGCACCCCAGCTGGCTCACAAGATTCTCCCCCTGTCCTTCGCAACAACCCTGCGAAGTGGGCTAGCCTGGGAGTCTGCCATTGGTCCAAAGTCACCTTAGGCAGCTGTGGCCACAGTGTAGGGGTGCACTAAGTACAGTGTGATTTCTATTTTTTAGACTTTATTTTGTGTGTTTTTCTTTATTATATGTTTGCTTGCTTTTTGTTTTTTTTGTTTTTGGTTTTTTTTTGTTTTTGGTATTTGCATTTGAAGAATTAAAAAGTCACCTAAGCAGCTTCAGGGCTGAGTGGGAACAAGTACCTACATTTCCTAGGTTCCAGTCCAAGTGCTGTACTGCATGGGCAGCTGCGATTGTGTCGGTACCACCAAAATACCTCTGCTGTCCTAAAGACCAACCCCTGCAGACCGACAATGGCCATCTAGCATCAGGCAGGGGGGCTTAATTTAAGCCAGGGCTTAGTTCTGGCACTTGTTTCCAGCTATGGCCCGTGCTTCGAACACATATGATTAGGAAAAAAGGGGTAGACGTCTTGCAGCTTGTCCATCTCTCATGGCAGGTGGCCCTCTGGCTAGGGATGGCTTTCATGTCCCATTTGAGAGCTTTCTCAAGGCACCAGGTTGGCCCCTGTGGGAACCGGCCCGCTTTGGGCCTTTGCCCTGGTCCAGCTGGGCTCTTGCAACATTCCTCTTACCCATTCAGGGCAGAGGAAATCCAGGAAAAGCGGCAGCAAACCGCTGTCTTAGGGCCAAGCTGTACTCAGTTGGTTGCCAATGTCACACACAGGGAGGACTGTCCTTCTGCATGGATTACAGGCATCACAGAAAGCTCAAGGTACGCCTGCGTCGAACCCCATCCTGAAGGCACTGGCTGGGAACATTTCTCAAGGGCTTTGGAGAAGGTTCCAGCCCCACCGGGAGATGATGGGAACGGAAGATAGGACCCTTGACGCTCGAGCCATGTTCTTGTCCACGGGGCTGCCGTGCCACCGCCCCGCTGCCATCCACTACTGGTTTTGAAAGGTGGTGGGTGTCATGGTTTGACTAATGTTGGAGGACAATTAGAAGGCAGGGCTTGTAGATTTCACGGAGAGCAGACGACGCTTCCCCACTCCCATCATTCAAGGACTAGGACCAACGGCGTCATCCCTTATCATCCTGCCCACCGAGTGAGGCTATCAGATGGCACGAACCATGCCCAGCCAGAGTCCACTCGGAGAAGGGCCCTCAATGTGGCGGCCCCTTTTCTCTGGAAATCCCTGGCTCTGGAGGTCAGGCAGGCAGAGTATATTATAGCTGTGTCAGCATAGTATCGTTTCCAGAAAACACTATTTTTCAAGAAGACTTCCTTAGGTGACAGCTTTGGTTCTGTTTTTTGTTTTCTGTTTTAATATTGTGCTTCTTTGTTTCTTACTTGAATATTCCTATTGTTTACCACTCTGGCATCTGCTTAGATGTGTGTGTGTGTTGTAAATAAATACATTGCGTAATAGTAGCAAGTGAGCTTCTGAGTTCATCAGCACTCTTTTTTGGGCTGGATATTGATAAAGGAGGAAAGGCTATTGGTGGGTGATGGAAAATGTTGCTGTAATCTGCACAGTGTTCCCCCCATATCTCCGTAAAGCCACCTGCAGACTAAGGCTTTTCTATCATGTCCACCAGTTTCCTTTCTGCCCCCATCCACCCCGCTTTTTGCTTAACCTGAAAAAGATTTCTGCTGAGCTGCAAAACCTGCTCACTGTTTTGTGTTTAACATATCAGGCTTCTGTAGCTTTTGGATTTCTCCCTCACCAACCACCGTAACAACAACAACAACAACAAATCTGGGACTTATAGGGAAGCTTTGGGGTGTGTCTTCAAGTGGGGAGGAGTTTCTTCTCTCCAAACTTGCCAGGGAGTGCCCCTAAACTTTTCTTCTCTTTCTGTTTAAAGCAAGATCAGGCAGATGTGTGATTTATGGGATCAATGAACTTCCGCCCTGTCCCAGCTGGAGTGGCCATTAACGAATATCTGCAAAAGAGGAAATTCCTCATAATAAAGGACTCTGGTTTGCCTAAGATGTGCATATTTGTGCATGCAGATGTGCAGGTGTGCAATTAGACAAGGTCACTGCAATTTGCATAGCCCGGCAGTTCATCTCGCCACAGTGTGGGATTCTGCTACCCACGTGCCGCTCAGGGACAGCTTCAAGGCCAGGATTGCCTTCCAAAGGTTCTTTACCTTTAAACCAAACGTGGGCTGGGCAGCCCTTTGAGCAGAGGATCTGCTGGAAACAGAGGACAGTGTTCTGCGAAGGAGGACACACAGCCACCCCCAGTGAGAAACGCAGTGTCCGGCAACCAGGGTTAGGCAAATAATGCTGTTTTCAGGATTGGGGACAAGTGCTTAGGATCAAGGACTGGGAGAATTTGAACACATACTCAGGAGTACCCTCCTACACCCCCCCAAGCATTCCTGAATCCCCCTTCCCCAAGCTTCCTATTCCAGAAACACCATTTAGGGTGGGTTGGTGAGGGCTCCCATGCCAGTGTGACTTCTCATTCATGAGCTCCATGGCGCTGCACATCCTTAGCAGGGGGAATTCAGCACCACGGAGAGCGCCCGGGAACTCAGCCTCTGACATGGGCTTCGGCCGCAGTGGTGCTCCTGCTGGGCAAACAGGAAAGGGAGACTCCTGCAGAACTCCAGCAAACCCACCCGGCTGTCCTGCGGTTGCCCTTTCCTGCCCCCTGCACTTGCTGTCCTTTAAAGACCACCATGAAAACACACGATTTCTCCCAAACGTTCTGAACAAGCCAGTGGTGACAGCAGGGGCTTAGACCAGCGGAAGGGCCCCTTAAAGGACTTCAGACCCATCGAAGCCCACAGCTAAGCCATGATTCAAAACAGTTCTGAGGAGGAAGTGATAAATCCACCAACAGCAAGAACAAGCTCCCTGCAGGATTCCCCTGTGAAATAAAAGTGGAGCTGTAATTCTGGTAACTTTGCCTGCTTTCCTGTGTTTCAGTTCCACCACTGAAATATGAACTACATTGCTTAGCTGGGAGGGAGCACGTAATTCACTCCCCCAAGACGTAGGAGGGGCCCATAACTCACGTGTAGCAGAGCAAAACCAAAGTTTTGTCTCCTCTTTGAAAAACGAGCTGTCTGATGGCTTAATGTTGGCTATGTGCAATTTATTATTCTGCAATCAAAGGACCCAGCTTCATACCCAGCTCTGTCCTAACAGCAGGATGCATTTGATGCAGCAAAGCCTTCAGGCAAAGTCAGGGCTTTTCTACGAGATGCATTTTTGTGAGCTGTTAATAGTTGTCATGGGTTCTTCAGATGATGTCAGTTTAACCTGTGTCTAACCAGCACTTGGAGTGAAGTTCCCTCCCTCCCTCCCTTTCGTTACAGAAGTATTTAATTGAAAATGCAGTATTTAATTGAAAAACTAAAAGGAATGTGATTTCTGCTTTGGTAACAGCATTATACCACTTTAGCACAGCTCCACCTAGAGGTTATCCAGCAGAAAAACAGGAAAAGAAATTGGTGCCCGGAAACCAAAATTAATAATGGTGGAATAACAACCTGCTCAAGAGTTGATTTGCAGAGAAAGGTTCTTAACTGCTGTCTTGAGCTGAAGGCTTTTCAGCCTGAGCATTCAGAGCACTGCCTGAGGCATGGTGGCAACTCATCAAATCCATTTGAAGAAAGATCTTTTTCATGGGGAAATGCACACAGGACCACCCTCATATGCATGGGCAGGCTTGCTTCTTGGCTGGGCACTTCTTTACCTGGCCAAACCTATACCTGAGCTTCCTCAGATTATGCATTCACAGAGCCTTCTTGGTTCTGGCCACATCAGGTCTAGAACGATCTTCCAAAAGAGGCACCAACACTGTGATCTTTCAGCTATCTTTTCACTGTTATCTTCTTTCAGGCATTTAGCAGCATATGATGTGTTTTTGTTTAGCTTTTAATCAGGTTTTCAACTTTGCTTGTGGATTATTTAAAATTAATTTTAGATTCATGTGCTTGTGTTGATAAACATTCATGTTCTTATAATGGTTTTTAAAGTTTTAATCTGTGTAAACCATGCAGGCAGCTTCTGCATTTGGGTGTCATAGGAATGTAATGAATGAAAGGAGATGAAACTTGTGCCTCCAAATCAGATGTAGGTGGGGAGGGAATTCTCTCTCCAAAATGCCTGAGACCTCCACTATTCCTCCCCCTCCACCAAAGGACCTCTTTCCTCCAAAGGACCCCCCCCCCCTCCAAAGGACCCCCACTATTCCTCCAGAGCC